ATAGAAAAAAAACACTAGAACAGTTTTTGCTTGAACTACTTTACTTACTGGGAGCTTTATAGGTTCTAGTTTTGATTTTTTGTCTTATTTTTCCCAATTTGATCAGAATAATGGTATCTGAGTGTTAAGGTAATCACTGTTGACAATTGTTTTAATCCCATTGCTTGTTGCTGTTTCTACACTGATGTCACATTTCAAGGCTGTTTTACCAGTTTTGTTTTTTGTTGTGCGTCACTCCTCTGAGTGAGCTCAGTGTGTTTGGAGAAGGCAGAGATGAGATCACTGAACACAGCTGTGGAGCTGTCACACATAATGGAGTGTATTGGGTGGAAGGCAGGGGATAGAAACTATTTCTGATGAAGAATTTCTTGTTTTCCAAATTTTAGTTTGCTTAGTCACAGATATACAAAATATGCTTAAAATCTATTCCTGAAGTTTCTTGCATACTTTGCACTCAACTTTTCCTGCAAAATGTCTTCATCTGACAATGATTTCAGATGCAAAAAAGACATGGCAGTTGGTTTTTTGGACATAGTGTCCATCACCTTATGAACTTTGTGTTCCAGGAATTAACTTACAAGCAGGGGGTAGAAATAAGCGTAAGTTTCTAGTGTAAATTCTAGAAACTTATAGTTCCTAGCTCTTATGTTAAAGTTTCTACAGAACACAAGACTACAATCCCAGAAAAATCCAAATCAACTCAAGATCCTTACATAGATGGTCATTTAAAGCATCTAAAAATCCCATGATTCTCTCTGAAAATCTGAGGGGAACAATCTGGATCTGTAATCCTCCACCAGAACAAAACCTACACTGCTCCTCCTGCATCAGAGGCGTGATAATCTGTCTTCTTTTCAACACCTTCAGCATAATTGCATGGAGTTACTAAACATCATTACCTGTGACCCATCTGGTCTGTCTCTTCCTTTAGTACAGGGGTCCCTGAACTTTTTCCTGTGAGGGCCACATAACTTTTCCCTTCTCTGGTGGGGGGCTGGTGGAGTCAGTTTGTAACAGAAAAAGTGTGATGATTGCAGGAGTGCCTAAATGTAAAAATGTATTGTTTTCCAGAAAGCACAATCAAATAACCCTCTCTGGGTTCTTCACAGAACAAAAGTCAGGAAATAAATAATAACACTATTAATGATTTGAACCCAGAAATAACTCTCTCTGGGTTCTTCACAGAAAAAATCCAGGAAATAACACTATTTATGAAATATTTACAGCAATAAGCCGCACGGGGCTATAAACTGCAGATATCTCTGCCGCTCTAGGTTTTCCACAATGATGCAGCACGCAGCAGAGAGGGGCAGACACCCAAAATTTGAGTCATAACAGGTCAATTGAATATCACATTTATTATGGTTGAAAAATAAAAAGTTGCCAAGATTAGATTTAACTGAACTGATTACAGTAGTTTCCGAACGGTAACTGTAACAGTAAAAGTGCTCATCCTTTGTGTTGCTACTAGCATGTGCTAAATGAAAATGGGCACTTCTTTCTTCTTCTTCCTCCTCCTCTTCCTCCTCTTCTTCTTCTTCTCCTCCTCCTCCTCTTCTTCTTTTTTTCTTCTTTAGATTTCAACGGCAGCTTACATCCATTATTGTTGCACTACTGCTATCTATTGGATCCTAATATCTACACCTCAAATTCTCGTAATGATCCCAGTATTATTTAAAACATGAAAAATCTTCTTTTTCCCCTCAATGCTATTTAACTGATCAACAACATTCTCAAATTTAAATTCCCTATTAAAATCTAATTCCGTTTTAATGGGCGCTTTCTTCTTTTATTTCCAATTTTGACTTCCAACGATTCACTTCCTGCTAAAGAGCCCCCTGGTGGTTGAAGAAAAATCCACATATAAGCCGCACCGGGCCATAAGCCGCAAGTTTCAAAGCCTAGGAAAAAAGTAAGCGGCTTATAGTCCAGAAAATACGGTATATGGAAAAAATCTAAATGCTCTCTGGTATTGTTCAAGGGGCCAGACCAAATGTGGAGGCGGGCCGGATCCGGCCCCGCGGGCCGTAGTTTGGGGACCACTGCTTTAGTATGTTCTCTATTCTCACGGCACATTTGATGTCTAGCCTTTCACCTGTTCTTTTTTCTGTTTCTGTTTGCTCTGTGACTCAGCAGCTAGACACACACCCACATGTTACCAGAAAGTCCTTTGTTATTGGCCATGAGGAACCTTCTCCTTTCCATCTCTCCTGTTTCTATTTGTTATATCACAAGCAGTCAGCCAATACTCGCCCACATACTGCATGCTGCGCCATGCTGCTGTGAGGCAGCAGTTTCTGCAGGCAGAAGGAAAGGAAGGAGATGAATGGAAGGGACAGGGAGGAGAGGGAGAAGAAGAAAACAGGAGAGGAAAAAATGATGTAAAACTGAAGTGCAGTCTGGCACCAGCTCCGCTTCTCAACTTTGCTCCCATAAACACATGAAGAAACTGTGATGATGTCACATTCTGTCATCCTATCCTCTTATAAATAGATCACTGATGGTAGGAGGGTGGTGGTATGTCGATTAGGATGAACTGAAGGTATGTTTACAGTTATTCAATGTTTTACTTTGCTAATGTGGAAGCAAAGATCAATGCCTATTGATCATACCAGAGCCTTGCTGTTGTCCCATCCTGTGCTGAAGTAGACAGATGAATCCCTCCGTTCCTTTCTGTGTGATAGATGAGGGGAACTACATCCAGCAGGAATTATTCCGCTCTGCTGAAGCGGCTCTGCTTACATAAGAGCAGAGCGACCTTGTGCTCTGTCAGCACAGCACCGCTAGTGTTGTGGCTGTCTGCAGGATTTAGGAGTTTGACTAATCAACGCTGTGTTTGATGCCCAGTTCATCTGCTCTGTGGAGCTGGTAAGTTAAGGATCTAATCTGAGCTTTGGATAGCTTCATTCAAATCTTCCTTCTGGTGCAGTTTTACATACAGACATTCATTTGCTTTTATAGATTTGATTGTATTGTAACTAAGCTTTTATTGTGATCATCCTTGTGCTGCAATACTAACTATTTGATCTGTGTAGTAGCATCAGATTCATTCCATTATCACTACTTTGAAATCGTACTTGCTCTTTGGTTGACAAAACTGCTTTATCAACCCTAACCCTAACCCTGCCCCACCCCCTGAAGAAAGTGGGCTGGGGAAGGGGATGTGAACTCAGAAAAGACTTCTCTTCCAGCAGCAGAGATGGCCTGTATTTGAGCCTGTGTTGAATGTGAGGAGACAAAGAAAGCTGTGACACACTTTCTAGGTCTGTTGCTGCCAGATTTGGTTACAGGTTTATTACAGAACGATGCAGAGAAAGCTGCAGAGTAACAATGCAGAATTGGTGTACATTATGAAGGATGCTCTTTTCCACTTTATGGAAGTGCTTTACTTCCTATTTACATATTTATCACCTAAAAGGCCTTCTTATCAAACATAAAGCACTTCCTGCATATTTTCCAACATGCGGTTTGAGGCTCGCATTAAGGTCACAAGGAATAAGTCTTCTTTATTTTCAGCCTTATGTTGCTTAGTGGATTGAAGCATTGTGTTTTTAAAGTAAATTAAAAAGGAAAGAAACATTATTTTGTGGTCAGAAGATGTTTTAATTGAATTTCTTTTAAATAAGGGGTTTGATTAAACTTACTTTAATCAGTGTGATGAGTCATTTTACTTAAACTTTTTAAAGTCATACAGACTGCCCAGTGGCGCAGTTGGTAGCGCTGTTGCCTTCAATCAATCAATCAAATTTTATTTGCATACCACATTTCAGCAGCAAGGCATTTCAAAGTGCTTTACATCATTAAAAACAAAAACATCAGAGTCATGTGACATTGAATAAACAATAATAAATAAATAAATAAATAAATAAATAAATAAATAAATAAATAAATAAAAAATTAAAAACATTAAAACCCGCACCCATTTTCTAACCCTTTAGAACAGTGGTTCTTAACCTTTTTTGAGGTACCGAACCCACCAGTTTCATATGCACATTCACTGAACCCTTCTGTAGTAATAATAAAATATGATTCCCCCCCAAATTCAAAACATAGGGGTGACCCAACTAGAGTTTAGTTGGGTCACCATGTGTTCACTAAGTCTTCTTAAAAGGTAGAGTCTCTGAGAACAGTTCTTCAAAATATAATCAGTGTTTTCAGCAAAGCTGAGCTGACTGTCCAGGAACGACCCAAATTTGCCAGTTTCAACAGGTTGGCCATCGAGAGAAACTGGAACCACTTTAAGGTCTTGTTTACATCATTTAATTAGCTCGGCAGTACCAACCCCGAAAAGATGCTACTAAGGAGCAGATTTAGAAGTACACCGAAAGCTACAGAATTTGGTAAAAACGTTTTGCTGAAGAAATCAAGTACACCTCACTGCAGCAAACAGAAAGGGGCGGGGACGGACCACTGTCAGCCTCATACCGTATTTGGAAATTGGACAATTGCAATCCGGAAGCGAAGGGGGCGCTATTTCCTGTATTATCCGCGGTCTCCCGTTTTTATTTTCTTTTTAAATCTGTGATATATTTTCACCTTTAGGAAGGAGTTTCACTCTCAGAATGTATTTGAACTTCTTTCTTTTATTTACTTCACGGCAGCTCACAGTTTTTAGCAAATTCTGTAGCTTTCGGTGTACTTCTAAATCTGCTCCTTAGTCGCATCTTTTCGGGGTCCATTGCTGCCTCTAGTGGCGTGGGGGGGGGGGGAACACAACTAATTTAATTAAATTGCTAAATCAGAATACCACAAAGCCTTCATTATTTATTATTTATTATTAATTCTGGCATTACTGGAACAGTAAAAGATAAATTCCCTCACAAAAGAACATACCTTTCCATTTTCTTAAGGAAGTAGAGCTAACTAAATGACATAAACAAGACCTGAAAGTGATTCCAGTTTCACTCGATGGCCAACCTGTTGCAACTGTGGCAAATTTTAAATTCCTTGTGTCATTCCTGGACAGTCAGCTCAACTTTGCTGAAAACACAGACTATATCTTTAAGAACTGTTCTCAGAGACTCTATCTTTTAAGAAGACCCAGTGATCTTGGGGTTACCCAACTTGAGGTTCTGTACAACCTCTAGTTGTACACGACTAGAGGTTGTTGAGTTAAAATGTTAAAACTTAACATTCTAACTAGAGTTTTAACTTAACTCAAGTTAGAACAACATTTTAACTCAAGTTTTAACTTTTCATCTTCTCGGCTGGTTTGGTCACATGAGCTGCAGATTAACAGACAATCTTTTAAGAATATTTTGAATGGCAGGTATAACAGCAGGTTATACCTGGTGGTGAAACCAAAAACAAATCTGTCTCAACTGTTTGCTGAAAGAACATGGAAGATGGCAGGAATACTTTAGCAGGGAGCATCCATCCTCTTTATTCATCAGTTTGACCCTCTGAGCTCATGAAGATGTTACTGTGTTCTTTTGGCAACTAAGAACATGTATTAGACGTCATTTATTGACAGTGCAATAATTATTCTTAACCAAACTAAATAACATTTACCTATAGCGTGCCAAGTGTTTTGCTCTACTCACAAATTGTTGATAATGTGATTCTATGAATATGATTTATCGTTTTAGAGCCGAAGGAAAATTTTCACCTTGATAGATTAAATAGTTTTATCTTATTTTTTCCTATATATGAGACTCTACCAATAAAAAGTCTCTCAAAATTATATACATGGCACCGTAAAAACAAAAATGTGAATTTTTGCTTATATCTGTTTAACAACCCTGGTTGTAACAACCTGGGTTGTTATTCCTAATTTGTTTGTTATTGACTTTTGCTGAATTAAATTTCTTATGTATATATTGCAAATGGTATTTTTATTATAGTTGATCATGTTGTTTTTCATGTCTCTTTATTTTTTTCTTCCTCCTATAATTGATGGAGATATATAGATATTTATAATGCATAAAAGTATTGTTTGTAATTTAATTAGCTCTACTTCCTTAAGAAAATGGAAAGGTATGTTCATTTGTGAGGGAATTTATCTTTTACTCTTCCAGTAATGCCAGAATTAATAA